TATATATATATATATATATATATATATATATATATACGTGTGTGTGACCCCTGTGAACACCTCCTCGGCCACTCTGGCTGAAACTGATTGCTTATGGCTGAAGTGAAGCAATTTTATACTAATTTATTCCTATTTTGATGGGGATTTCATCTTTTAGGTTAGGCCTATTTATATAGAAAGGTAACATTGCATGGTCCTCGGCCACTCTGGCTGAAACTGATTGCTTATGGCTGACCTGAAGCAATTTTATACTAATTTATTCCTATTTTGATGGGGATTTCATCTTTTAGGTTAGGCCTATTTATATAGAAAGGTAGAGGAACATTGCATGGATATTTGATCCCTGTTGGGAATCATCAGTGGTGCGCATATCACGAAACTCCATGGCATCGAGCCTACTACCTCCAGGTTACTAGTTTGAACACTTAACCGTTGATCGAAAGTATGATTAAATCGCACTTAGGATACAGTCCCGTTGTCACGCGCGTTGAGTGTGTATTTATCACAAACTTATTTAGTATAAATGTAAGAACGTGAAATTCGCAGACTTTGGGAGAATCTTGAGCGATCCCCAATGGTCCTGCACGCAAAGTTTCGCCACTGTTAACGGAAATCGCCAACCTTAAATTGCCAGAACTAAGAGCAATGGTGCATTTATCGCAGGGAATACGTATTGGTTACGAATTATTGTGGCTACCTAACAACTGAACTGGGTGTGAACGGAAACCGAACCATCCCACTAAACTTCAAGGGTAAGCTATGGCCCAAACACAGGCCAGCCATTAGACAAATCACCCTCGCCACCTACGCCATACCAGTGCATCTAATTCTCTATCTTTATCCTGGTCGTGGAACCAAGTGAAAGGAAAAAGGCCCTGCGCTGCGGGGCTGTTTCTTAGAAAACACCAAATCATATAATGGTTACAGACTATTGGACAGAGAAGCAAAACTCTCATATGCATCTTGTTCACAAAAACTGAATATCCATCCTCTCCTTGAACGTGTCTTCCTGAACTTCCCTGGATATTCATTGACTTACTCAAATGCAAGCAAACGCTACAAAGCGAATCCACAAATTCCATAATAGATCTCACCTTTCAAGAGACGCGAAGCGGATTTAGAGAAAACATACTACTCTCACGCCTCATCAGTAGTGCTCACCGTTACACCAGTGGTAAAACACAAAAGCAAATTATGAGGTTTTTGCAGAAGGAATCAATGTACTGCTAAGGAGCAAGTGTCGTGTGTGGGCTGGTCCACAACGCAGTTGATCAGTCACTTGTATCTAGGTATTTGTCAATGTCCGCCTGCTTCAGGTGCCTTACAAGAACTTGAATATGCACAATAAAGGCAATCCTGGTAGGGATGAAACAATCACATTGTCTAGCTAGTCACCCTTAAACAATTTGGACTATCCATCTTGCTGAAAGACAACTAACCGGCTCGATGATGTAGTCTGAAAAGCAGAAGTTAGGCAGCGCAAATAATCTGCTACAAGCATGAATGCGGGCGGCGAAATCGTCAAAAGCCATAGAACAAAAAGCTTAACTTGTCGCTCACGCAGATCGCTGTCCAAGGCACGCGAGAACAAAGCTTCCAGACACCCGAGAGACCATATTTATCCAACATCTCAATTATACGTCGTTCTAAAATACCTGGTGTCATTGTACACAAAGCCTCCTGAATGGAGCAACAGAGACTTTGATTAAGAAGACTATAATACATGTCACAAATCAGCCAAGATAACACACAAATAATGTATGGACACTCACCTGTCTGTAGGCGATGTTCAGCATTTGAGCCAAGCATTCTGTCATCCGGTAGTCATGAGGCAAAGACCTCCTTCGCCTCGCCATTTTCAAAGGTTCCGCAAGCTTTCCTGTCTTTCTTGGTGGTTGTGAGTGGGTTCGGCTTGGGTGTTCATTGGTCTCGTCGCTCTCTACTTCCCCGCTTGCTTGATTTTGTGCAGAATGTCCAGAATTTGGACGCTTTATATGAGCCCTAGTTTTATGCGACGTTCGGCGCCTGGAAAATGATCGACGAGGTTTACGCGGAGTAGAGTCCTGGGAGGGTTGTTGTTTGCTGGACAGCAAGACGCGTGTTTCATCTACCACATCTTCGTCCGATTCTGTTTCGCTCTCAGCACGGTCTCTCCGTCCAGATGATTCCAAACTCAACTCTTTTGAATCCGTTCCAAACACACCCACTTCACTTGTTCCTCGTTTGGGCGGCGGTCGATTCCCTATATTCGTCGTTGCCGAGATTTGCTTCGGAACTGATGCACTCCGAGTACACTTGCCATCGTCGGATAAGACATCCTCGTCCTCCTCATAGTTATCGTTTTCAGGCAAGAGTAATTCAGTTTGAAACCCTTCAACACCATTTCGAAACATGGTTAGGAGTTCCTTCATAGGAATGGGTACTTCAACGCTCGTTAGAATCTTTACATCAAACAGAGAGAACGTACGTGTAACATTGATGAACGAAGCAGAAATAGAGGTACGATTAGCATATAAGGACTAGAAATGGTATAAAAATTGCAAATATTATTTTTAAAAATGTCTGATCTCAAGTTCACTCTTCACTTAGTCCTGGTGGACTACACTTGGAAGGCAAAGCAACACATCTTTAACAGGCATTTCAGAACTTCTCCATCCTGCTTTAGACTATCGGTATTGCTCATTCAGTAGTTGCTCATTGAACTGGTTCTTGGTTTAATTTTTCTGGTTTGTGGGTTCAGAGTCTAGCTATGTAAATTATGACGTCCCATCTCTCCTACAGCAGAGTTGATTTAACTCAAAAGTGACATTAAATTACAGAGTATTGTCACTCCCGATGCAGTTCAGGTCAAGGATCCTGAATACTGTTAAGCGAACGGCCTAATGACCGACTTTTATAACAGTAGTAGAGGCTTCATGAGCCCGACTGCGTACACAGTCTTCAAACATATGATACTCACTGACTCACATATGCCCAGCGTGGACAGGTGGAGGAGCGGTAACACACGCGTCTGATATGTCAGATGTCTAGTGTTTGAGTCCCCGAATGGGCTAGGACAACCACTGCTCAAGTCTAGTGCCAGTCCATTTGATTTAGACCAACCGAAATGATCTAACCGAGATAGAAAGAGGACTGTTCGTGGTTGATCACCTCGAGTTTAACTTGTTGCACTACATTAACTAAATTATGACTACCAAGAAAACATTCCAAATATCAGTCCTTAATTCACGCTGTACGTTTGACAGATAACTCGCACGAGATTTTTTCATTAATTATGCCACAGTACACCCAGTACACCACGAGAGAGAAAGCATTACGTTCCGGTCTCCGGAGGCACACCAAACAGATTTGAGTGGCGAGCGAACTGGAAATGACGTTTTCCTAGCAGACCAATATGAGTTTAGCCAAAACTTGTAGAAATCACGCTCTCTCTGAACTAAAACAATCATGTGTGGGCATCCCCAGGATGTCATTGACATAATTATGAAATGTCTGAACTGTTAGCGAAATTAATGACTAATTGCTCCAGAAAAAGCATATTACAGGGCTCCGGAAAACGGGCTGCAGTATGTGAAGATTTTTTTCGGGCAAAGAACGCCGCTTCATATCCTGTCCTGCGGATCCACCAAAGGTTTCAAACCACGCCTATCCAAGCCCATCCCGACCATCCACACATGCTATTCTTTTCATCTGATCACTGTCAGCTTGACAGTCCAGAGGCATCAGAGACGGAGGGACCGGGTTTCCTCGGTGAGGTTTAACGACGAGTGTCTGAAGACAGTCAATCCGATTAACGGTTTCCAAGACTCCTAATGCATTACAGATCCCCCCTGGTAGTGCCCCTATTTTGAACGGCAGTGAGAAAAGCAAAAGAAACCTTATTTCTAATTCACGAACCGGAGTATTGTTAACCTGGGACTTGAACGAGTCTGTCAATTATGACTTCGGTGGGGTTGGGCAAAGGTTACCTCATCAGTGTTGGTGCTTCTAGTCTGGGCAGCCACACAGAAAAGGTCGTACATCCAATTTATTTCCTTGACTTTATGGAAGGCTCCAAAAGGTTGCTATTTTCCCTCGAAGCGAATAGAATGGAGACGGATCAAGAAAATTAGGTCTGGAAAGAATGGACAGTTTGTGGCTGTTTTTGAGTTGGTGGAAATCGAAGTGTACTTCATCTTATTCGATTTCCAGATTCATAACAAAGTCCTAGATCAATGAAAGAAGCAGAACCGAAGTCGAGCAAGTTGGATGATTAGGTGTCCACAGAACGTCATACATTTAGTGGTGATCGGGTTGAAGCATAGATCGGAGATTATACACACGTATATTGAAACACTAGTTATATTCCTGACTGTCGTTCTGTCTAAGAAGCTCTCGTTTTGGTAGTGTGACAATGTTTTCCATCATCCATTGTTTAGTTTATAGTTGAAGGTGTGCCAGATGTCTATGAAAGAGTTCGTGCTGGGCGCTGATCGGATCTACAAGGTCATTGTACACAATTTCAGCCCTCCAAATGTCAAAAGTTCCACTTCTAAGCTCCTGGCGGCTTTTTATTGAGGAATCGCATTTGTTCAAAAGATTCGTTTTCCATGCCTTCACCGTGCCTGAGAGGTTTTACGCAACGTTACTGTCCAATAAAGAAACCCCATACATTGATTGCTGGTGGATCTTACTCACACCCATGGTTCATCCTTGCCGTCCGAACCGATGCGTGTGAGAGCAAAATAGTTTGCAACAACCAGTTTTTACCAGCGTGAGTGCTATTATCCAGACAGAAAACACTTCGGCACTCCAAGACTGGCTTTAACGGAAAACATCATCACTCGACTCTACCCAACATATCTACCCAATCGTGCACAACCGATACTCCACGATTGGTGACGAAGGATCTTCAAGCCCAGGCAGCCGATCAACAGCACCTGATCTACAACAATCAACTTAGCCCATTTATTTTTGCGATCATACTCTTCAAAACGATACTTGTAGTGGCAAGGTGGTTTTCGAACTTCACGTACTAATTACTTAGGAAAAACGCTATTTTTTGGCTATACTTGCATATCATGGCTTGCCGAGCCTGTGAGACATGCTGCACGTATTTCGTTTTCACCTGTCCCGAAACAGTTCTGGTCACTACTGTTTGAACCACAGTAGTGACAAACAGGTCGAGACTACGACATCAATTACCCACGCTCCGCCTTCAAAGCCAGACAAGTAAGATAAAACACCGTGTTGCCACCACACTGATTTAGTCCCATACTATTTCTGCGTAGTTTGGGATACTTTGCGAAGAAAAACTGTTGTGTTAGCGCTAGTTCATGGGAAAGAATTTAGATCATCTTGGCTACTTCGCATCCGTTCTGAAACTCCACGATACAAGGGTGAAAGTTTTCTGAAATTAATTAAATGAAGACTTCTTCGGAAATTATTGGTCCATAGTATAGTATAGTATAGTATAGTATAGTATAGTATAGTATAGTATAGTATAGTATAGTATAGTATAGTATAGTATAGTATAGTATAGTATAGTATAGTATAGTATAGTATAGTATAGTATAGTATAGTATAGTATAGTATAGTATAGTATAGTATAGTATAGTATAGTATAGTATAGTATAGTATAGTATAGTATAGTATAGTATAGTATAGTATAGTATAGTATAGTATAGTATAGTATAGTATAGTATAGTATAGTATAGTATAGTATAGTATAGTATAGTATAGTATAGTATAGTATAGTATAGTATAGTATAGTATAGTATAGTATAGTATAGTATAGTATAGTATAGTATAGTATAGTATAGTATAGTATAGTATAGTATAGTATAGTATAGTATAGTATAGTATAGTATAGTATAGTATAGTATAGTATAGTATAGTATAGTATAGTATAGTATAGTATAGTATAGTATAGTATAGTATAGTATAGTATAGTATAGTATAGTATAGTATAGTATAGTATAGTATAGTATAGTATAGTATAGTATAGTATAGTATAGTATAGTATAGTATAGTATAGTATAGTATAGTATAGTATAGTATAGTATAGTATAGTATAGTATAGTATAGTATAGTATAGTATAGTATAGTATAGTATAGTATAGTATAGTATAGTATAGTATAGTATAGTATAGTATAGTATAGTATAGTATAGTATAGTATAGTTATACGCGTAATAATAGCACCATCGCAAAAACTAACCTCTAACCAAGCAAGAGCCTGATCTTGCACAGATGGGGGTGTGCTGATGAAGCGTTCGGCTGCAAAGTGATAGACCTTTTGTGGCAGGAACGGGAACGGTCCGGCAGTGGCATCGAAAATTTTCCTGTGCAAACAAAAACAAAGAGTGATGTGTAGAGACCAGCAGCAATCGAGTTCATTCAAGGTTAGTTCAGATCGGGGAAATGCTCGGTCCACAGTTTTTACGGGGAAAACAATCATTTAGGTTGGAACGATATTTTGACATCTTGCGACTTGTAATTTCATTACTAAAACACCTGTGATGTGAGGTGGGAATGAACATAGGAAACGGAATTAGCATAAAAATAGCATATTATGAACGGGTCCATTTGTGACGAACACTCCACCTGATTACATCGCTTCCGCCTCAGCGCTCTGAGTTCAAAATCTCACATGGATGCCTTCAGCTTAGCTGCTTGTAAACGTCTTGAAATGTTGCCCAATTTGTTCCACTAATGAAGAATTGAAGGATACTTTAACCTTGGTATTAGGATGAATTCAAGAGTACGCAATGGGTAATAAGTGATAAAGTGATCAAGAAAGTTGATCGGTTTGTTCCATAGCTGAGTACCTTTCATCAACCACTGCTATTTGGGTAAAACGGATTTTGGAGTGTGTTTTAATAATAACAATTGGTAGGAAACTGGGAGGATCGTCGAGCCCTTTGAATTGCCGGTACAAGACTGAATAAACAGGTGTTCACCAGCAAGATATGTGAAGCGTTTCTTTCGTCGGAAAATATGCAAGAACGCAACACCAACAGTTGTGTACTGATGAGGTTAGAGGTCATAACATGTTCCAAAAACTTCATAAGATGGAAAATTAATTCCTCACTGAAAGTGCGGCGTCAAGCCTCTGTAATGCCCATTGATGTTCAACTCGCAGGTTCTCTTTGTTCGTCCTGGTGACGTACCAGATCTGAAGTTTGGAGCCAGCAACCACAACGCTAGGCTGATGTAGCTTAGTCACACGTAATACGTGTCAAGCAATCATCAAGCTGGAGGAGGTGGTCCGCACAGTGAACTCAGTGAGATATAATCCAAAAGCCCACCAATGCGTTAGATGAAAGGACTGCTTGAGAGATTCAGGAAAACCCGGCTACCGTACTCACGGCCCTTTGTCTATAAAATGAGGGACTAATACCTTGTGTGTAGTTCAAGATACTGTAAGATGCGCTTGTCAATCCATAGTAAGCAACCTTTCAGCCAGTTTGTATTCCGATTGTCTGCTTTCGTTTTGTAACTACTTCAGAATGGTATGGTAATTTGATTACACTTCCACTGCGACTTTCGTTCACTTCCCCCATTCTTAAGTGACGCTCAAGTCTTGAAAACCCATCTCCGGGAAAAACTTCGTTACTTTGTCTCTCATGATTCACAACTAAATCTATTTTGTTCATCTTGTGGTCCGTTTGTCTAATACTGATGGTAATTTGTTTGTTTACACAATGTGAATAGGATGCCAGTCGTTCGATAACTGCCCTGTAAGATGGTTGGAAGTTTGCGATTAACCACAACATATCAAATCAGCCGTGATTTTACCAGAAACCATATACTAATAGCAATCAGTAGTGTGTTCGCACACATCTGGAAATTTTGTCAGTTGTTCAACATCGCGTACTCGAAATGTGTTGATTTGTCCAGTTTGTCCGCAAAGTCATTGATATCGTAATCCAATTTTTCAGCATTCAACATGCATTCTGTGTGTGCCAAATTAAAGTTAGTCACATATTCAGTGACCGTTTGTTTTTATTCGCGTTGAAATCTCCAACGTCATAAGTTGAATGAGAACAAATATAATTACGGAAAAACAGGACAACCTTAAAAGAGCTTCTCACATTAATTCGACCTGGTTAGATAAATTGATGCAAATTCATAAAAACAATAAATAATAAATAGAAACTCACTTCAATAGGATTTCCAGCTCCAAGTAATCTGAACGCGGCACTTCGGTTCTTATGGATTCAAGCCAATAAGGCATCACAAAGTCCCAGGTCTGTAAAAATCACAAAATGTTACACCTTATCCAAATTATCTAACTTAATATGCTAGCTGATACAGACACGATACCGGTTCGAACACCAATGGCTCCGAAAAAAGCTCTGCAAGAAGTTATCCGATCGATAACGGTTGCTATGATTTCAAAAACCATGAAGGTACGAAAGTCACGTCAGCAATCCTCACCTCGGGGGAACATATCCCCGTTGCAAACCCATTCAGCAAGCTATTAGTCGTATTGGAATCGAAGTGCATTTGTTTCTCTTGTTCACATGTTATAAGGCCTGCAGGCTATTGTTTAGACATGAGTGATGTGGCAGTATATCACCTGTTGAACAAACGTCACCAACTGGTGATGTGCACATGGAGGTATTTGGAAGTATCGAGCAGGGACCTGGGTCGCTTTCTTACCCTATACTTTTATTGACCTCTTCATTGAAAACCTGTTGTTAGCTCGCACCAAGCGATTCTAAATTACGGTTCTCTATTGTGCTGAAGCAGGTAAATTACGTGCATCGAGGGTACAGTCTCCCTCTCTACTGCGCAAAACACTAATCCGATAGAGGTGAAGCTCAATTTAACCCGAAGAACAGTCCACCAGGAAAGTTGTATTCCTTGATCACCCAAGAGCCGTTTGGGAGCTCTTGGTTAGCTTCATCTGTTTGAGTGTGATAAGTCAGGTTCGTTCGGCCTGATGACACGCGGGTCCCGTGCGTCAGAGGTCCAGCACTTAAATCCTTGCACGATCAAGGGTGTATATTGCTGCCGAACGCTGAGGAGAACGAAACTTCAGTCGAGTGTTCCTTTCGTTTATTATGGATAAGTCCGAACAGCCGCTCCAGGAAGACGGAACATTTCGGACGACAGCGATGCCTATATAGGAGCCCATACCGTGATGGCCGCTGCATGCACGAACGATACCCTGAACAATTCCTAGTTCATTATTTTTCCTGACCTCTATGCCAAAGTTCTGTGCTGGCCTTGTCACTCCAAACAACCCCGAACGACATATATATATATATCATCGAACCAAAAACCGGTATATAAGCTGACGGCTTATTCGGAGACGCTGCATAGATGTATCGTTGACAAATTTACGTTTCACCGCCTTTCAGAATCGCACGAAACTCGGAAAAGACTGACGTGGTAAACTTTACCACCAAGGCACCTCCTGACGCAGCAGCGTGCATATGATATGTCTAAGGTCAATTCAGTACTTGTTTTCAAACTACCGATGCACACAACTCAGACATCGCGTTGTGCCCATGATTCAATAAGCAGAACATTAACGGATGGCTTGAAAACAAATGCTTCAGTCCGCACGTGGCAACTGAGTTTTGAACCCGATTTCTCACAAGTCAGGAAACGAGGTCGACTAACTGCGACAAGCCCACTGTGACAAGACTGAAACTCAGCTGAGCGGTGGTCAGGTGACTCCCGTTGGCATGACGACTGCGCACCTGGACAAGAGGTTTATCCCCCCCCCCCCACTAAATCGACGCGCATTGAGGCGTCTCGAAACAAATTACCACGCCGGAGGCCGTTGGTCACACCGGACATATGCAATAGATGGATCTCCTGACCTAGTATCTAACCTCTAAATTTGTCATCTAACACTGGACCAGCGAGTGCAAACAGGGATGTCGCACGAAGGAGGTAGTTACAGCGAAAATGAGACTACACGCTGGTTCAATGCAATTACCGCAGTGGTGAAAATACCGACCCATGGGCAGCGTAGACTCAGGAAAGAAATCAGACGGACCACGCAGTTCCACCAACGATTCTTCTTCACATGAAGTTCTCCAAGAATTGGGTGGAAGTTCCCAACAGATCATACAGAGTAGTTTTCAGAAGTCCAACAACTCGAGGTAGGCAGTGCATAAGATAAGAAAGAGGCACCGAATTCGAAGGTCTAACAGTCGCTTCAGAATGATTTGGGGAAACGAGTTGTTTTCCACCGTGTTTATTGATGAGGTCGTTTTTAGCCTGAATAACAAATTTAACAAACTTCCTATTAGGATCGCTACTGGCCCTTCCTCATTCAACAAAGGATTAAGCTGAAATCCTTGGCACAAAAATGATCAGACCGTTTTTTCTGTCCAGATATTATGAATGGTAAGTGTTGTCATCATATGATACGCTGCTTCAATACTGCTCAGTTTCGTAGGTGAGGGAGCCTACTCAGTTCAAAGGCATTTGTTTCCAAAAAATGGTGTCTCAATGCACTAGGCCGGTAGTGTACGGAAATACTTCAGCGAAACTTTGGGGATGGGTGGATCAGTCAGGAAAAGCCGTTAGACTTGCCAGTCAGATCGGCAGATCTGAATCCCTCTGACTTCCTCTTTTAGGGCTATTTGAAATGGTATGTCTACGGGGCCTTTGAGAGTTACAGTTGTATATCATGAACGAGTGTAAAAAGTGAATCCCGTCGACTATGGAGAATGTGAGGGCCATGTGCTCTTGTGCAAACATGGCGCTGGTGTGCATTTCAAACGCGCTGTTCACTGACCTGTGAAATTTCACTCCATGCTCTATTATATCAGTAAGATCATTTATATACTGTGATATCTCGAATATGGTGCCAACTGAAACGTGAGATGGCCTTTGTGCAGCACATTCACTTGAAGAACATCATAAACGAGAGATTCAGTTGAGCCTCCCGTGAGAACCAATTTCATATACAAATGATTGTATTCATGAAAAGATTCTTTGTCATTCAGAAGGAGTTTGCATGGGAATCAGCTCGAACAAATTAGATAAGGCGGGCTGAAATACTGTCAAATTCACTATCGTTGTTGTCGGACGAAGAATAACCTCACATGAAGCACTGGGTTCGTGGATAAGTGAAACAGACTATGCCGTACTCATTTCCATGTAGCCAATCAATGTAGCGATGTAAAGAATTATTAGTTGATATTTACCGGAATGCTTCGTAGTAAGTGTTCAAAGCATGGACAACAGCTAGCTAATTCTGATTTGCAAGTGGTACAAAATGGTCCAGTAAAAAAGCTACCTTATTCTAAACTTAGCTCAGAATTCCTCCCAACTTTTTTCTAATTATTTTGGGTGATGACTGATTGGAAAAACAAAGTGACCAACCTGAACGTGTTTACGCAATAAAACAATAGGGTTTGTCATAACCAAAAGCCCGAAATTGGCTCATTATGTCGATACGGTCACTAGGGTGTCCTTACTAACCCGGAACGTATGTTTTTGCCTCATACAATTAAAAAACATCCATTCACAATTCTCTAAGTGTACCTTCATCAACCTACAAATGTATCACTATGGATGGACCTGAGGAGGACTAGCGCTATCATTCTGCTTAGCTTCCAGCGGACAAGTCGAGATACGTTCAGCCAAATTCCTAACAAAATGATCACCAACGCATCTGCGTCGCCAAGATATCCACCACAACCAAAGTGGTCCAACTTGGACAGCCCCGGCATGTATGGTTTTACGGCATTGTGCACAAAGATCGAGGTATCATCGAAACAAAGAAGAACTGAAGGTTGAGACGAATGTCTCATTTTAACGCAATATCAGTACTCACCGTGATGCCACTATGTTTAGGTCGGACGTGAGTTAACCCACGGACTATAGTCCTTCAAACTTTATTCGAATCCACAGACTCACAGGCAGCAGCACATCCATGTCACCCCAAACCTCTTTTATTGTCCTCATTGGATGTCAGCCAGTCACAATAAATTCAAGCAAGCCTCTTATAGTGTAAGCTGCTTGAGTAAAATCCGCTGCACTCAGTCTATTACGTACCTCACGGGGCAACAAGGGCAGATTCCGACTCGGAAACCTATCGCGGTACCCAAAACAAACATGCTGGATTCGTGCCCTTTCAACATTGTTCACAGCCCCCCACAATGAAGCGCAAACGCGAATGAGTTCATTTGAAGCAACCAAACCATAGAAATCTTTCGTTATGAATTCGGCTACTGTATCTTCCCCCTTCGGTCTTCATAGTGTGCAAATAGCAAACTCAGACATATTGACCGTTTAGCTGGAATTCTCGTCATCGTTCAACGCCACCTTCTCCCATGAAGTCTCTCATCCAGCCAGGGGCCCTCCTCATTTTATTGTCTAGGATTCTGAGAAACTCAAAGCACTCATTGGATGTGCCTACAGTTAAAAACAGCGAAGTCTGTTTAACATTTAATAATACAGTGGTCCAGGTGAAAACACACTAGACAAAAAACTGATTAAACGACTTTCGCTGCAACGCGGCTGGAGCTTATTCCAAAATCCCTGTAGGCATAGGCGTTTACCTTGTCCACCCACGCTAACGAAAATGGGAATATTGCCCCCCCCCCCAGTAAAATGCAATAACCATGTGTTGCTATCTGTAGATAGCTCGTCAATTATTACTAAGACTGCAATCATTGAGCATAACACACCGCGAATGCCAAGTACAGAGCAATCACAGTTATTTGCTGGGTCAATAAAGTGGTTTATTGGGCTCTGCGCACCTCTCGGCACTTCTGCATTAGTTTTGGGCGTACCGAATCCACTTTAATAGTGCACTCAGTATACAAACCTCCCTTGGAAGATGTCTCCCGGAATTCGCCAGCCATGAAGCACAGCTCCACTTTCATCCTGAGCGCACTGCGATTCGACCGTGTGGCCTGTGTCCCGTCGGCAGTCTAACGGGTGGTGTGGATGGGATTCCAGCCCTGTCTGCGTGCGTAGTCGTCATGCTGTCAATCAATCTGACTTTAGTGGGCCTGCGCCATAGTGGGCTTTTTGCAATTAGTACACCTCGCTCCCGGACCCGTGAGAGTGTAGGCATAGTGCCCTCCGTCACGCCCTCGTTGATGGGCTTTTCAACCACTCGCCTGTTACAGTTCCGGCTACTTAGACGTGTACACAGTGCGATGTTTTGGGCGGTGATATCCGGTGTTTTTATTTATGAAAGAGAGGGGGACCTTCTGGCTGACCGCGGAAAACCTGATCTCCCAACCGGATTGTGCCAAATACCCAATTGGATCCACAAATGACGAGTGCATTCAGACGGAAAAAAGCCTCAGCATTCGGTGTGGGACGACAGCGGATGACGGGCTCATGTCAGTGCGCTCGGAAGACCGCAGCTAAGGAGAATAGACCAAGGAACAAGGCCACAGCAGGTCTTCAGTCCAGTTGACCAAATATCGTTACCAAACAACCCTAGGAAAATACTACCAGCTTTCGTGTGTAAGACAGTATTCAGCGATCTATGGACATTTTTGGACGAATAGTATGCAGGCCATTGAGTATATTAGGTCCAACAGACTAACAGTTTGCAACGCTAACGGAGTCTACATGAATGACAAGAAATAACCGATAAAACAGGCTATCAGCATGGGAAAAACAGATAAATCTAAACGTGAAAGTATTTTACAGCCGAATGGTGGATGTAAACTTAAACGGGTGGTAAATGGGTGGTCACGAAAAATCAGTGGAAACTCAACAATCGACCAAGTAACTTTCTGAAGTGGATTCCATTGGTTCCGAATAGCTGTGTAACAAACCAGGATTTCCAGTTGTCTAGCCTAGCCTAATTCGAAACATTGCCTGAAAGAAACTGTAACGACGCAATATCGTGCTACGATGAAATCGTAAATTCGCGAGACATCGAAGGCCAACGGACCTTCAGAGCCGATTCGGAATCGAATAGTGCCAACACAGTGCACACATCAGGTCAGTACAGTGACACTAACCTCAAACGTGACGATATCATACGGAATGAGGCTGCCAATGCGACTGAGGCCGTGCTTCACCTGTGTGGTACGATCACAGAGGGCATCCCTTAAAAGGGAACGAAGAAATAAATAAATCATGGTTACTGTGGCGACATTTGGGAAGAAATGCATAAATAACTGCCCGCTCAACAAGCCTCCGGTTAACACGCAGGCGAAACGGTTATGACCACTAAGTTCATAGTAGCTGCAGAAGACAACTGATGAATGAAGCGCAGTACTGTTCAAAAGATGAAAAGCGAATAAAAATAAGGAAGTTGACTTCCGTTGCAAACGAACAAGTAGTGTTGACAAATCAGAGGTTAGCTGCGCAGTCCAGTGAGGATAGCGAAAAAAATGGACCATTGTAAATAAGGCATCCCTCAAGTTAACCGGTCCGTTGGAAGAACAGTGCGATGTCACAGGCAAGCGATACACAGCACATCATCCGACAGCGGAATGACAGTCACACACATCAAAACCGTTCACTCAAACGCGCAGTTTATATGATGGCAATAAGAAACATACCAACAGCTTCCAACACGAGCATGTTCGAGAGGATGCGGGAGCAAGACGGCAAAGATGGCTTCTGGATGAAGTCGTTGCACTTCTTGTATCCACTTCAAGATGTACTGAAAATAATTTGTTTCAAAGAACAATTAACGACTTGCTATGGAAAGCGGTTGTTCAAGGTAAACAGTGATATTTCTGAAACTCATGTAGCTACAGAAACCACATTATTTTCAACCTATAGAGAGGTCATCGCCTAAATCCGCAGAATTGTTCATTTTAATACCAGAAGAGTGACTTCAGCCCCAGAATGTCACAAATTGGACCACCTTTAAGTAATTGCAAGGAGTTCAAGGGCCATGTGGCAGTTCTGGGCGACGTGAATATGCCTAGCTTCCTAACTGTTCGATACCTCCGTAAATTAGTTAACCTAGTCGAATGATGGCTTCAAAATCAGCCTTCGTTCCTACCTTACCAAATGTACTTCTTCGTCGTTTATAAGGGGATGTTTGATTGACATACCCCGTTCAGTTACTGGTTTAAGCGAATGACGTTTTGACTCCTGTTGAGAACAGGACACAAGTAAGTGATCTCTAAGGACTATGCAATGTTGGTGCCACTGTGGTTATTCCCTGTCGGCGCATGTCAAAGCAGCCATCATTTCATAGTGATTATTTTATTTCACGTTGTTTTGTGGATATATACCAGGAAGACAACTAACAACAGTAATTATTTTTTGGTGTCTTTGTGTCACTGAACCCACGAGATACTGCAAGGGTGTTTCATGGTTACTCAACCGGTGACTCGTGGTGGAATAACCGTGAAATACCCACAAAATAACTGTCACGAAGTCACCCAACGGTTACGCTAACACGACACGTCTCCGGGATTATGGGTAACTAATACCTGTCTAACCGTATTCTACTCATCACTCGTGGTGAAATAACAGCCATTTGTCCATAAAACAGACACTCGACGAGAACTGGACAGTTATTTAACAATCGAATAACAAACCATATGCTTGGTCATTTCCACGCAAGCCAGCTACCGTTTAACCACCATATAGTGCATAGGTCAATTAGTTATGTTTAACCCGCTACTTGTGGTTAGTTATTCGTAATCTAAATAAGATAAGTCTGCGAGCTAATGGTTGATTCATAGCTACTTAACATCCGTCTACCAAAATAATATGGTCAATTGTGGGTACTTCGCGGTAATTCCTGCATCATTTGTCTACATTTCCCGTTTGTTTCACCGCGAAAGACCCATTAGATTACCGGCCTTTGGTAGTTATTTCATAGCTATCCAACCAAACTATGCTCACATTAAGCGGTGGAATAACCACCGAGTGATCAAATAACGAAGGATTTCATGAAAAATTTATTTATCAATTAACCATTTTCATCCACAACGTAGCTATCATTTGCGGAATATGTGCAATCAGGAATGTTTACAGAAAATGCTAGCGCTGAAGGAGCAGGCAAGCTGCAAAATGCGGCATCAGAAATGTTACCTTGGGACTATCTAACTTAAAATGAAAGCAGTACGAGGGTAGTGTTCATTTCAGAGGGAGGATAATTACGCAAGGTCTGTTTGGGCTGTCCATATCACCTCGTCACATATTTGGTTGTGAAGTTCATGGCTGTCCAATTGAGATTATGACAAATTTGAGGGTAGATGAAGACTCTACTAGGCTTCTTTCGGAGACGATATATCAGAAAACAAGTCCTCCAAACAGCGGGAACCTAAACTACCTAGCCCGTTGGGTAACAAAGATGTTCTGTTCAAACAAAACTCTAATGAACCTCAGAAAAAATCAACACCATCATAAGTGCGATATAACCACTGGAGTTTACGAAATGTGAAGCTGTACGAATGAAGTCTTTGAATGCGTCCACCTACTGGGCACATATTTGAGAATCTCACGTAAACTAATCGATTGGCATGCATCTACAAAGACAGCTGTCAAACCAATAAATGTATCACCTTGCACGTATTAATCTGTTTCTTGTGAAGTACAGTGTGGCACAACGTGGAGATGTACTTGTAAAAAAACTTATTAAGAAGTCCAATGAAACATCCTGATTAAAAACAAATACTTAAATTCACTCTCATATGTGAAAGGGAATCGATCGACTTACCTCACTTTTAACTTTTTCAAGCAAGTCCCCTACTTCATCTGTAGGGGTGAAAAGAGGTTATCTTTAGCAGAGGTCACATGAACCCAATGATTCCAGGGGGTCAGCGTCAGATGATATGAGCATGCGCGGCGCAAACATGCAAAGATGCAAAGATCGGTGGCACTGTAAGACACACGAAGAGCTGAATGGCTAACCTTACGCTTGGTGCTATTAGTGATCTAAGCTTGGTTGAGTTTTTGGCGATATCTCAGGTTTTGTGGTAACTTGTCAGCTGCCCCCCTCATTCTCTTCCCCTTTGTGCTATTTGCCTTTATTCAAATCAACTACAAGAAGCTTCTCACGTGCAAGTTGCTGTTGATGCTGATGATGGAAAAGTGTTGGAGAAATCTCTGATGCTTGTCACACAACCAGCGTTATTTTATACACAAACTACACTATTCAAACTAGACATCAGCGTATTTTCCCAATGCATGCCACTGTTTACAAAGACTGCTTAGTTAGGGAGATTCTGATAAAAGACCTGAATCTACTATTAAATGCATGTTGATATGAACCTCCACATAATATCAAGGAACCAAGTGAATCAGGGACAGAAGGACCCGCATTGAGTGCATTTCAGTTGTCTGATAGGACGTTTGGAGTTATTGGCGCCTTAGAAAGAGCCTGGTGGATTGGTATTTATTTCCCATGATCGCTGAGGGGCTGTAAAATATCAGTGCCTACATCGATGCTGCTACACCATTCAGAGTTTACACGGTGGTAATAGAGAAGTCATAAGGTACCAGATCCGTGAATGCTTTGCCTTGTGACCTCTGGTTAGATGTGGTTACTTATGAGTGCCCTGATTGTTCCAGCCCGTATAATTGATATATGAATATGTTTACAATTTAAATCACAAGTCCAGTGTCTGAATTTATTGCGTTTTCGATAAACAGATCACTCTGACTTCGAGTTGTTCTCACTTGGTTTTTCCCGATGCGCTATGTCCCGGGCCTTAAGCTCAAGAGGAACACCAACCTACTGGTGCTGGATGTCGTCCATGAGTTATGTCAACAAAATAATGGGTCAAAACAACACATGCCTCTATTATTTGTGAAGGACGGGTTCCTAAGCCTGACAGCAGTGAGTGAGATAACGGGAATCAAGATTTGTAAACAATGCACACGTACTGTGTGCGAACAATACTCAACTTTAATGGTCTAGGTGAGCACCATAGGATCCTCATTTGAAAAGAAAAACTAAAATTCAAAGCGCACTCCAAGTCGTTGAAAAGGTTACGTGACAGAATTCGTCGACGAGCCTAGAGAGAAAAAGTCAGGAAACAATGACCTTAAATTTCACAACCGCAGACGACCTGGATAGAGTGAAAAGACTTGAGATCCGTGTAAGAGTAAAGTTCAATGGCTGGGCTGTTTGGAGAGGTACCGCGGTGGGTTATATGGTGTAAACCAACGGCTCGATGACTAAAGCTCATCTTTATCATGAACAGTTCATCGAAAGCTTATTACGAAGAGAAATAAGGCGCATAACTTTAGTCATCAGTTGGCATCATTCGCGGCTAGCGTTAGAATATGTAGGTTGATTGGAGGTTCAGGTACGATCTTCACCTCAGGCAGAAAGAGATAAAGCAGGAAGGGAATTTCCACATGGTCAGTGTTGTAACCACTGCTGACTAGAGGGCTTAAACCCACTGTCCCCTGTGATGGAAATTTGAAGGTTTTGGTGTGTTTCTAGGCGGCCCGTATATCCATAGTTATGGAAGCAACGACGGTGCCTTCCACCAAAGAAAGACGGGTTGGGAAAGGTCGGCCTTAAAAACGGAACACTTTGATCACCCAAGGCTTGACCGTGACCGCTGGAAAATAATACAATACGGTCGAATAATAAATAAAACTTGTCATGGGACCAATACAGCTTCAAACGCATCTGCTGTGCGCAGTGGCATCAAAAATTAGGCATCTATTCTTTATTCTCTGTGTTCTCTGATCAAGCCAGCCTCCCACAACCAAGTTGGTCAGACCATCGAGTCACCGGTTCTGGAAAGGTTTCCTCAAGAAAAGTCGAACAATTGTAACTTCGAAGTTCGGACTTTTGAGTCAGTCTCGGACCTTCACCAGATTCAAGGGAGTCAGGCAAGAGCTTTTTCTGTCACTGTTTTCCTTCAGCTTACCGTCTGAGTCTACTCTACCCGTTTCTGACACTTCTCGGATCGAAATACTCTTGAACGTTCGTTCACAGACATTGAGCACGCTGACAACAATGATTTTACTGGTTCAGGCCCTTTGGGAATTCAAACCATTTTAGATAACCTGAATAATTGTGCTGCGCGGTTCAGTAAGCGCCTCAGGCATGAAGAGTGCAAAATGTCACTACAAGATCGGGTGTGATCCAGCCCAAAGCCCGTACATGCAGATGAACCGACTGATGCGGTAGCTAGGTTCGTCTATCCGTTCAGCAAAATAGGTCCCGGCGAACTAGCCAAGGATAGAATCACTCTCCTGGAAGGCCAGAAAAACTTGTCAGTCCTAGGCATTTGTACCACCACAACATTATTTTTAATGTCAAGGATTTGTGTTTCAATCCGCCGTACTTTATAGGTAAACGTGGCCGCTGTGCGCACAATATTTTCGAAGACTCCCGATGTTTGACCATCGGCACTTCCGAAGCATTACGTGGGCGTTGTAGAAACAAAAGATCAGTAATGCCGTGGTATGCTGGACGGCTTTCAAGGAAAATTAACTGGACAGACCCAGTAGATTACGCTAGAGGAGGACCAGCTGTCTCGCGGTACCTTCACCCAGCCAAGTCTGGGGTGGGAACAACTCCGGGGGTCAGTCCATGACTAGTCAACCCGGTCACGCTAGTCTCCAAGTCTCATCAGAAGGCGACCCGGGGACCGGACGACCGAACGGCTAGTGGCCCTGACAGAAATAGCTATGCTGCGCAGTATGAAAGCTATTGCCTCCTCTGTGTAGCTCCTGCAACATATAGGAATGGGAAATGTCAGCGAACTGATTAGACCATTGTCCCTAACACGTGGCCATGAGTCCCTTGTACTCTTTATTCTTAGTGAATGATGTTGTAGCAGTTGGAACCACTGTAACTCGGTAGCTTACTGACGACTGAGTTTTTGGATTTGTTCAGCTATAACGGGACGAACATTGCGTGCTGCTGGTGTTCCCGGACTCGTGCCACAAGTTGTCTGGAGGTTTTTTACGTTAAGAGTTCCAGCCAAATTGAGCACTCAGGTGTCCTATGCGACATTGTGCGAATACTGTGATCGGATAGATGGCCTACTGGGACTGAGCCATTATTGTTTTGAAAACGTGTGGTGAAATGTTCCGTTCATTCACTTGCATGCAGAATATAGATGAACGTGAGAATGTAACAACTCGTCCTCAAAAAGCTCAGTTACGGTGATATATGTATCAGCTACCTAACCAACCGATTATTTTAGTGGAAAGTCACTATCCACACCTAATAATATAAATCGGTTTAAGATAGATAGACGGATGAACACTGTTCTGGTGGTCAGACTGTTAATTCAGTTGGTAGTCAAGGCAAAAACATATCACAGAGACGTGGTTCTAAACCGATGACGGTATCTTCAGTGGAAAGTACTCTGTTGCTGGTCAAGAAATGCTCGCTGTCGTAATATATGACTCGACAACATCCGCATTCATGCAATGAACAGGTGTGGTGCAGACAACAGGTAACGTGCATTCATTTTGGAGGCCATAACCTTTGAGCCGTGTGAACAGAAAAAGCATGAGCGTGGGGAACAAATTTCGCGTGTCACCAAATGTGTAAAGCGCGCATCAGAAGTCACGAAAATATAGGCGGTGTACCGAATAAAGACGAACAAATTCACCAAAAATAGAGGACAAAAATGGCCATTTCAATTACATCGTTGTCTAAATGTTCCTCGCACATCGTAACCGGAGCCGGCTGGAAAAGGATTACGAGAACAAAGGGAACTGAACGGATACAGCTTAAAATTGTGAAATGTCCGGTTAGTCTGCATTAGGACTGTAACCATATTGTTACCTTCCCCCAAGTTACCGAATACTCCACAGATACGGTTTGCATCCAAACATATTCAAGCCGATGGGTTTGGTGGAAAAGTACGAATCCATCTACACAAGCATAAACCCATGCTTTGATGCATCCAGTAGAGCTTTAGGGTATTCGAGTCACCAGCTGCACTGTCCACCCTGCAAACTTTAAACCTAAACACAACCTTCGAACAGCAACCCCTTTCAATAAACATCATGGGATTCAAGGGGGTGTCCTCGGTGAGGTCATGCCCTCATTGGACAGAACATCCCAGATACTTAATACGCTTGAAAATCCGTAATCTAAATAAAAATGCAACATGATTAAGCCGGATAACCGCAACGGTTTCCAGCACGAACGTCATCGGGAACTAGTGGTTTTTCACCTCTCTACACAGGAATAACAGCCGTTAAGCACGGCAAATTATCAAAAAAAGTATGTTCTTGTATGACACTGAAAACAACAATGATCACTAGGAAATTGTGAAATGCTGTGCTGCATTCCAACATTTAGGCTCATTACTTTCAGTCGGTATTTTACCTGAAGGATATTCCAATGAATAGTGGCGCGTGCATATCAAATGGTTAGTTGGATCAGGCTCAGTTGGATAAAATCAGTTGTGTTTTAACATGAACTCTTTCGAGTGACAGAGCATTAATGCATGATTCAATGGCATAAGGTGTTTACATTGTGGACTCTCCTCTTGGGAAACTGGAAAGTGTCAACTATTCTTCCTTGAAGAAGGCAGCGACGAAGATCAAGACACTCTAAAATTATCTCCTGGATGCTGGTTCACCTTCCTCACGGAACAGGTACTGTACTGGAGTGCATTTCAATTCACGAATAGATCTCGAAAGGGTCCATTTCCCAGGCTTTTGACCGGCCTTGTCAGTGACACTGCAGAATCTAGTCTACACACACCTTGATATGTATGCAGCCCTCGAAATGTCGGTTTTCTTCCTCCAATCACAAGCTCGCTATTCTGAAGGTCCCGGGATACGCAAGCACAGGTATACAGTCCTATGTGAACTAACTGAACCGCCGAACAATAATAAATAAGTACTGCAGCAATCGGTCCAACATGAAATCTACTTCACTGGTAACAACATTGTGAGATACAACATCCATGATAATATACAGCCTACACCTACGTGTAGGTCACCCATTCTCTACAAACAGCATGCTGTCATATAACTAACCCTCATCCATAAAAATGAATAGTACTCACCTTCGGCCGTATAGATTGTGTCCAGAAACCAGTTAAATATGCCTGCAGTGATGCGCGTGAGCAGTTCCTAAATGCACAGTAAAAGGGTGAGTGAATTCAGTAGATAATAGAAGGCCAGAGATGACGCGAAAAAATCAACTTACAATATTGAGAAATTCCCGAGGCCAACATTTTTCGCCCACAAGTAATGCCCCATAGACAGCCAATACCTTGTGATCCTCCTCGGTATATCGACCGATCAGCGAAAGCTCACCAACCTCACCGCTGGCGTTCGTGCCAGTCGGAGTCAGTCCGGCGATTCCACGGGATCCACTTGTCGCCTGCAGACAGATGGGAAGGAAGTCCTTAACAGATGTACGGAAATAGTCGGTTTCAGTATGACTCATTACAAGCATTACAAGCTGTATATGGGTTCGCAGCCAAGCAATGACGCATCAGAACAAGGTTCCTAAAAATTTCTTCACAAGTCACACTCGGAATTGCTGTCAAGTTCACAATGGGTGTTGTTACAAGCGAGTGTGCTCAATTTAGACTTGCCTGAGCAAAATGTAAAAATCAGTGGTGACCAGTTAGTGAGGAGAAATTTACCAAGAGTGTAGTTTCTAGGGTGAGGGGTACAGAATCCTCGGCTTTGAAGGGATGGAAGGGATGGACAAATCATCACTCAGGTGAGCAGGCCGTCACATAACGGTCAAATTTGGGTGTTTGCAATCTGAACAAGATATCTCTCGCGTTCTGCAATCTAATTTCATTTCAGCCTGAGTCTGTATTTGATATTGCAGAATTTTCAGCCATGCAGTGGCTCGGCTGCCAGGCCATCACCGCTTCACTCATCGCTACCGTTTTGGCGTGGCGTATGACAGACTGGATAATGTGCTGCTATTTACCAACTTATCGACCGTTGGCGTCCTACATCCGGACGCATATCTGGACGGCATACATGTTTGGCGTAATGTGTGCAGCCCTTGGACTTGAGGACGAAGGAAATAATGGGGCCATTTCTACTACTTATGCAGAATTGCACCAATGATCTCCATACATGGAGCAACACGGATTATATCGTCAGCATAAACGTCTTGTGCATGCATCTGCTATAATTAACAGGGGCGACTGGGCAGTCGAGGCATAACAAAATGTTCCAAATTTAATAAGCACGTGGCGCCATGCAAAGTAAAAGACCACTTAATCTGACCTTAAACTTATGGTCAAGATTCTGTTCCCTAACTGTTGGTCAGTCCCCGTAACGCTGGAAACCACCGTTATAAGCACTATAAATGCGGGCGTATGCTCATTCAGATAGTCTTTGCATTGGTATTTACTCATAGCACTGCAAAAATAACTCGTGACCATTGATTTATATCGGCATGCTCCGGAAGGTAGGATACCACCTTCGCCATAATTCCACGTGACATGCGTGATAAAAGTAAATGTATGGTTGAAAAACGTATGTCTGTCGCTATCCCTAAATTAAAAGCGTTCTATCTAAAGCTCAGAATTACACGGGTGAGGTCGGTCACGGTGTTGTAGTGTAATCTAAACTTATTCTCAAGTTATTCTTTCCTGTCACAGGGATGCTCCATGTGGATGGTTGCATATCCGTGTTATATTTCCAAATATTTCATACAAAATGGTAGAGCTTTTCGCATGTATTAGGCAGACATGAGGCTGGTGACGAACAGCCTAATTGTTCGCGGTGAATATGGAAGCTCAGGAGGCAGTCTCCCATTTTTCTGAAATAATGATATCTAGCATACTGAATAAGGAAAAGGTGAGCTCAAGGCGAACCAGGAAGCCAGGTGGTAGCCAATTGTTAAACTTGATATATGAATTACTTGACAGCACCTAAACACAGGTTAATGGCGAAGAGCTGGGTTGTAAATGTAGTCTCATGCGGTAACCTGTCGGCAAAGCTTGTATGAAGGTAATTCTGCATGTTAAATGATACTAACTAACTACTGATGTTGAGAACGACGGCAGTACCTTAGAGTCAGCAACAATAGCCTCTTTAAGCCTGCCTACCCGAGCTATGGCCTGTTGAGAAGCTCCACAAACCTTACCTCCTCCGCCCTATCCATACAGGCGATCAACGTTGCTGAGCGGCACGATACGGTCACCTCAGCCTACCCAGGGTTTATCAGTAACACGAGCCTCCTCAAAAACATTCCCGTCTCATAGTCACGAACAGGCTGCAGGCTGACTAGATGCTTTAAGAAATCTACATCCTTAAAGTTCAAGGTTTTCCATCAAATCATTGCTTAGCAAGCATACGAAAAAGGCGGGCATTTCCACTGACATCTTGAGATAAGCTGCAAACACTGAGAAATCCAAAGTAAGACCAGTGGCCTAGCGTCATTCAGCTCACCTTCACACAGCAAAGGATACTGGTTCGCCTTTCTCCTATGTCTATAATGAGCTTATTCAAAAAGAGTAGTCAACGATTATTTCATTTGCAGCCCTGATAGGGAAAAATTTCAATGGTTGAAAGACCGCGTGATTTTGCACTGCCTAACTGAAATCTGCTAGAAAACGTTGTTCTTACACCAATAGTAATTGAAGACAGTTTGTCAGCTTTATCAGGCAAACTACAAACAAGCAACAAATGCCAGAAGAAATCGTAGGGCGGCAAGCATTTAAGTACATTATATCTTGAGGACTCCCATCACTACGCACCATGTCCTGGTGAAAGTATTTTACTAGAAGTCATAGTCAAACTGATCCTCTTAAACGTACCCCTTGCCCGAATTCTGCATAAGGTGAACACTGCGTGATACCCATAGTTTGCATTCCTGTTCCAGTACTCGTCAAGAGACCATGACCGGTGGCAGTCCCCGGAGGGTTCACTCCAAGCAGCATCATATCACTTCCACTCGGCGGCCCTCCGGGTGGATTTGGACCGGTACATGTTAGTCCGGAAACTGCTCGCACATTGCTTCCGTCGTCAGAAACATCTCCGCCACCCAGTAAAATCTGACGCCAGCGGGGCATGGTTTCCCGAGTGAGTGAAACAATCGCTTCAACCATACTCGACTGAAGGTCCAAAGCCATATCCCAAACATCAGGCAAGGACATCTAGACGAGGGAACCGATTGATAGGAAGGAAAAACGAACAGTGCTCAAAAATGCAATCAACTGGGTGCCACACGAATAGGGCAGAGTTAGTGGACACGATTGGCGAATGAATCCGGACAGAAACAAACGTGAATTAAGTTGAGATAAAACGGTAATCTGGTGGAAACTAGACAGAATCAAAAGGGTTGTTTATGACAGTGAGTTGAAGCCTATGTTCAAAGTTGTCCTTCAGAAGTTTCTTCATTGGGACTGGGTATCCAGAGCCGTAAGAGAGCAAGTGATTATTCCAGAGGCAAGTTCAGCAGACAAGTGGTGGACTGATTTTTAGAAGGTTTTCAGCTAGTATGCCACTGCGACATAGTGCTTGATGAGGAAGCGTTTGCAAACAAAAGACTGTCAGTGCGTAGCAACATGAGCTGTAGTGCATTCAGGATAGCTAAATAATTTTCTGACAGTAAAGCCATGTACACTTCCCAAAACTAACGAAAGACTAGGATAAATCACAACGCTGCTCATTATCATCATCTGACCTCCACAGCAGTGTTAAGGCCTCACTGCCTTAAAGCCATATAAGTTTATTTGAAGAAAACTCCGATGTGTGAAGCAGCAGCCTAAAGTTGACCTAGATCACGCATACGACGTGAATATACCTCAAACGTCGGTCAGATAATTTGTATAGAAACTGGGAACACGGAAACCCTTGATTGCAGCTTCTTGCCTTAGTCCGCAGCATCTCTATTCAAGCACAGGGATGGTCAAGAGGACTATCTGTCCGGAAATGAGTCATACCCATGGCAATAAAACTTTCAGTGGCAAGGGCGCGAATTTACTGACCGGAAAATCCGTGGTTCGAACCTGATCTCCACCTCTCGACTTCCCCTGTTTAGTCTTGGGAGACCTGGCAGTATCCCAGCCCTCATGCTCCCTTCTGGTGGTATGGCAGTTAGGCACCGAAAGGATGCTACTGAGCGAGCGTTTTTTCACAGCCTCCTACCTTCTCTTCTCCCGAGTTGTATGCTGTACGCCTTTCGGTTTATTCCACGTCAAAATTGACAGGAGCCCTCCTCGCAAACGATAACTCGGCATGCCTATTGTATATTCAAACCAAGTTAGTGGCTTGGACGTAGCCTGGGACTGAAGAACTTTTCGCATCCCCGAAACCAGTTTGATGAACATATTATTGCGAATTTCTTGGCACCAGTGTGTACCATTAGCAGTTGTGATCAAAGATCTGAAGGCGTTTCAGCGTGCATATTCTTAGTATCGGGTGCCTTAAAATGGTGATGGGGTACATTCAAACCCGACGAATCATAATTGGAGCGTACCTTCAAACTAACTCGAGCTGCAGAAGTAATAAAATGAAGAACACCATGAACGAGATATTCAGCTGGATTCCGCTGAGTCTCGAGTTAAAACTAAATTAGTTTGCGAATAGGTGTACACACCGATCGATTCGATTCATACAGAAATACATATAGTGGGTTGTTGGCCGTGGTGAAACTAACTACCATATCTAAAACTCACCAAAATATACGTAAAATTAACTCAGAGAAGATTGGATTGTTCACTCATTTCTTGTAACTACATCGTACAAAGAGGTAAATGTGAGACAGGTTTGGTCAGCACACTGCAACAAAAACGGTCCTTGTTAGTAAACGTTGCCAGTCCCCATAAGTGACCTTTGTTCAGGAGGAAAATCTCAAGAGGCTGAGAGCCGCACACCACAGACTCACTTGGTAAATATGCTGACCTGAATGTCTGGGTCTTACAGTAGTCGAAAGTGTCCTACCCAAAGGTTCGCTGGCGGTCATTCTGCTCTCGGTGCGGCTGGAAATAGAAGCACTGGAAGTGGCTTGCCCGTAGCTGTGTCTCAGGGTGTGACATGCATCACAAAAACGAATTGCCCGATTCCCGGTAAGGAAGGTACAATCAGTAGAGTAGCATGTGACGGCAGCTTGGTTGTTTTTACTTCGGCAAGTCTTCGATTCACAGACGAGACTTATCTGGTCAGAAAAAGGGGGAAGTTGGGTAAATGACCGAAACAGCCTTATTTTTACCTACCACATGAACCAACTCAGTCAGATCAGCAGCTAAATTTTACTTCTGCTCACCCACCAAGCAATTAGTATGCGAATATGGCCTGTAATAACACGACTTCGTCTGAAGTAGAGGTTACTCATGTTAAACAAACACAGATAGAAAGGCTATCCAGTGTGTTGCACTGAAACTTTGGTTCAGCATCCCGACCCAGATATAGCAGCCGGATCGAGGACTGAACCAAGGGACACTGTGCGGACCCCACATCGAAAACACACATCTAAAAGTAAATATATGCTACGTACTCTCCAGTCGAAACGTCCGCACCATCTTCCAAATGGACATCACAAAAGACAGAGGTAACTAGTTCGAATAAAAGACAAGATTAAGCCTGTTGACCGTAAAAACTATCTACAAGAATGGTTGCACTAACTGCAAATGTTTACATGGGACGAACCAGCGGAAAAATATGGGTTCCAAACAGTGGACAACAAAGCAAGCTGAATAATAAAATTGGAAGGTGACTAACAGGTCACACGCTACGCACTACGAGAGGGACAGCAAATCAGTTTGGTAAGACCCATATCCTGCAGTTATGTGTACTGTTTTGGAGCAGTGGTGATTCACATGACACCGTGCGTCAACATATCTGACACATCTGAGTTACCTATCATTTGGTCGGGACTAATTTATCAACAAGGCATCAACCACAACGGATCGAATGTGACATAAAAGTCCAATCCCAGGATAACGTGATAAACATGCACACAATATGAGATACACAAGTACCGGGCTGCACACGGCAATAACACCAATCACACAATTGCATAGTGAGTATGTTTCATAAAGAGCACACTGACCAGTTTTTGCAAACAGCGTTGATTTTCATCATTATGACCCTTGGTAAAGGTCACCTTCGGTGGTCGAAACTCCCTACAGTTTTGAGATGTACTACTCCTAAGTTTGCTGAAAATCCATCGACAGCCAACGACCGGTTTCGCCCTTCTTGGGGCTCATCAGGTAGGCGCAGTCCCCGGGTTTCCGTCAACCTTATGTTCTACTT